TAGTCCTGCACATGAGGACAAAAACACAATCAAGCTACCAGGCTGGCCCAAGAGTATAGTCATGCACATGAGGACAAAAACACAATCAAGCTACCAGACTGTGGCCCGAGAGTATAGTCCTGCACATGAGGACAAAAATACAATCAAGCTACCAGACTGTGGCCCAAGAGTATAGTCCTGCACATGAGGACAAAATACAATCAAACTACCAGAATGTGGCCCAAGAGTATAGTCCTGCACATGAAGACTTAGTCCTTTGGTCATAACATTGAATCAGTTGAAAGTCCCACTTAGTAGCTATATCCATATATATTTGCTGGATAAAAAGATGTGAATATAAATTATTATTCATGTCACATGATTGTCTTTTATGGATGGGAGAGGTTGGGGAGGGTTGTTGTTCTGACAACCACTGAGGAACTGGGTCATAATAACTTCAACACAGTTGAGAACACCACCCTATAACCATATATGTGACTGTTGGGTATGATGCATGCTACCAGAATTAATCATGGGTCTGACCCAGCCCCTGGAGACTTGAATTCAGTATTACTTTTAATGAGTATATTTCACCATTATTGGGTAATGTCACCTTATACAATACAAGCCATCTAGACCTTTTGTCTTTTATATGTAACTCTCTATTGATTTACAGTCACCCTTGTTGTGTCCAAGTCCCATGAACGGCCAGCATCCATTATTTTTCTCAATTAGGGATTTCCGTTTTTCTTCCACAGAAGGTGTAATTCATGACTTATTTTTCGCAATATCCTTACCCCACCAAAGGGTAAAACACACTGCTCATTTTCTTTGAAGTCATAATTACAATAATCCAATAACGTCCCTTTCTAAATTGGATGATGTCATACATATTATAGCTGGGCATGACATGAATGAAATTTGATAGCTTCATATATCAAAATTTAGCCTAAAGTGAATATATGAATCTATCTACATGTATCTATTTGTTATTATCCAAAGAGACCAAAATGGCTATAATGCGGAGGGGAATGTTGCAAAAATAAGCCTTGCAATTTAGGTGATATTGAAACTAAGACTTTTGAAAGTAATCTGCCAAGGACTCTGGATTAAAACCGTTGTTTACAGCTTGGATATTGTCATGAGTAAGTGGATACGAATATTGCAAATTACTAATGAATCAAACTGGTTCACTGTATACTGTGGTGATATCACAGAATTGTAACTGAGCCGATATAGAATTGATTTCCTTTTGTAAATATGCTGATCACAAACTGCTTTCTAATATGTATTCAACACATGATCGATCTGATGTTAAACCAGCCATGAACTCCTCACTAGGTATGTTTATTAAAAGATGACACAGATCTGTGTTGAATTAAGCCACTGAGATATTTATAGAGGAATGTATTTATGAGAGCTTTGTTTCCAGCCTAGGCCTGCATGAGCTTAATAGATATTTTGTCATAGACTGATAAGACATGTCTTTAGATTGGTAAAAAAATAAGTAGGAGAAGGACAGGCTTAACAAAGCAGGCTATCAAAAAGTATAGGAACCAGTACTACCTAGGCAATTATTGCATGCGACGGAAACAGACTAGGTAAACTGCCTGTATTAGAACTCTGGAAAATAATAGCTAGAAATACTGGTAGCATCCTGTAGTTAGAAGATGGTAGAGAACAATTCTATAAATGACACCTATATTACAGAGACGATGTGTCCTCGAGAGCTTTAAACCTATTAGATTCAGAAGAAAGGGTTTGTAGTGAGGCTGCCTGGCGGTCTGGTCTGACTGCAGCTACCCAGCCACTTAACACTCTCCACAAAGGGTAGGCTACAGAAAGGCCTTTATAAGATGTATAAGATGTGGAGGATGGGAATTCATTGTCAGATATTCATTATTAGCTGTAGGCAACAAGATTGGTGATGGTAGTGCTGTATATGTTTATGTAGATAATTAGGTTTGTAGAGTTGATTTTTAAATGTCACGAAGATGGAATTTTTATTTTCTGATAGCATGAAAGAAATTTTACCTGGGGGTACTTTGTGTTCTTGAAATTAATACAATTTTGAATGTCAAGAATTTTGATGTGTTTTAAACAGGAGATCAGAAATGAATATAATTGTATGTACTGGGTATTCCCGAAACTGATGAAGGAGCCTAATGCATTGCTCCGTCTCTGTTCGTTAATGGGCCGGTCCCTAGTTATGTCTATTACCCTGAAGACTTCCCATTATACATAACATTATACTATATTACCAGTATGTAATTTAGACATCTTCGTATTTTTAGATACAGCTGTGTTAAATTGATTCATTATTAATCCCTATTTGTACATTTCCTTAGTGTAGCTGCTCCCTTCTCTGCTATTTAACTGCTATTTATAAAACAATTTGCTGGCATTCTTCACCAAATTGTTTGATACTAAGTGGTGCCATGTTCTGTATAAATGACAAAATGTTGCAAGATAACCGCAGCAGTAAATGGTATTCCTACTTGAAAATTTAGATATTGTTGTCTCATTTTAAAAGTACTGGCTTGATCCTGTACATATAGCTCACCACAAACTAGAGGTCATGCACTCAAATCCAAACAGAGCAATGGTATTACTTGTGTGAAAGAATTTGGCACAATTGTGAAAGAAAATACATGAGAATTTTACATTTTTACCAACCGAAAAATCTCATTTTAATTTTTCATATATGAATACCTGACTTTTACTTCATTTTATGTTTGGTTAAGGTTGTGAATTTCTGTTTTCTCAAAATAAAATCCTGCAGACAGTGCCACTAAGTATTTAAAGAAATACTCCAATCTCAATTCTGCATACTTTTTGGTACTTGACCGAGTTCCATTCACCCAATATGCACTAGCAAAGACCACAGGATGGCAGCTTATACAAAGTGTTCCTGCGGTGGCTTAATGTGTATTTGATGGCCTATCTGACAACCCCTCACTTTAATTATAACATGTTTAGCGCTCTGTACCCCTCACCACTACTTCCCCCACTACTCACCCACTGCCAAGGAAGATGGGTGTAATACATACGCTACAGGTATTTGATTAGGTCAATTATCAGTCTGTAAATTAGGTGTCCTTTGACCTGAGAGTAGGTTCAAAATGTATCACATGTTCTGTGTATTGGATACTAAAGCTGTGGTATGGATATTCTGGGCTTTTATCCTCCTTACTCTAACACAGAGAATAATACCATTCTCACAATTCTTCAGGTGCCCTGCTTCACTTCTCGACACAAATGTTATTGACATTTATTAGCTCACCTGCCCGAAGGGCAAGTGAGCTTATGTCATGGTGCAGCGCTCGTCGTCCGTCCGTCCATCATCGTCCGTCAATTTTTCCTTTAAACAACTTCTTCTAAAGAATGGACAGGCCTAGAGTCATGATATTTGGCTGAAAGCTTTGTTGGTAGGAGCCCGACAAAGTTTAAGAACGAAAATGACCTTGACTTACCTTCAAGGTCACATGGGACAAATATGTCAAAAACTTCAAACGACTTCTTCTGAAGAACTGAAAGGTATAGAATCTTCATATTTGGCTGATGGCTTCCTGGGATGGAGCCCAACAAAGTTTGAGAATGAAAATGACCTTGAATTACTTTCAAGGTCACAGGAGTCAGATATGTCTAATTCTTAAAATGACTTCTTCTAAAGAACTGAAAGGTATAGGATCTTCATATTTGGCTGATGGTTTCCTGAGATAGAGCCTGGCAAAGTTAAAAATGAAAATGACCTTGACCTTCTTTCAAGGTCACAGGGGTCAAATATGTCAAAAACATCGAAGGACTTCTGAATAATCGAAAAGCATAAATTTATAATATTTGGCTGGTGACTTCCTAGGATATAGCTCACCAAAGTTTGCGAATGAAAATGACCTCAACCTAATTTAGAGGTCACAGAGGTCAGCAACATTTTAAAGAATTTGTTCTCAAGAACTAAAAGGAATGGATTCATAAGATTTGGCTGGTAGCATTTTGGAATAGAGCTTACCAATTTTAGAAGGAAAATGACATTGACCTGCTTACAAGGTCACAGGAAAAATATGTCAAGTAACTTCTGAAAAAGAATAAAAAAGCATAGAATCTTATAATAATATTTGGCTGGTAGTTTCAACAGATGGAAATGACAAAGTTTGCGAGGGAAATATTTGTAGTGCAATATTATATTTAATGAGAATATTTTGCTATGACTGCTTAAATATTCAGGTGAACGATACAGGCCCTCTGGGCCTCTTGTTAAGGCTATGTTCTACCTTTGACATTACACTGGTGATCTATGTAGGAATCAGCTCTCATAAAAATTTAATTGGTTTCATCTAATCATTCAGAATTACCCAAGTGTTTCCAGCAATGGTGATCTTGTGTACCTTTCGTATGCGTCATCCGTTCATGTGTACTTTTTAAATGTGTCATAAATATTAGTATACCTTTCAAATATATGTCTTCAATTCTTGTGAACCTTGCAAATATGTTATCAATTAGTTTATCAAGTCCAACTACTCTTTATAAACATGGATCTGTATATTACGTACATCTTTCTTTTTGTGGAACTCTTTAGAAAGGAGATAATATAACAATAAGGTAGGACTTATTCTTAAGTCTGTCTGGTCATAGGAAAAAGTAGCAGCAGCACAAGAGTTTTAGTGTGGGTAAAATTACAGCAATACCACATGTAATCTTTGTAACTTTTTCATAATTGTTTTGTCTTTTTCTAGCCTTTAATTGATCTGTGTTTAGAATTTAAAGTCAGAGTCAAAGGTTAAGAGGTGAAATGGAAACAATACTTTTTATTTTGAAAATGAACAAGCCTTTAGAAGACCAGTGTGGGTTAAGATAACATGCATGTCAAACTGCCATCAAATATATTCGATGGAATAACACTGGCTGTAAACATGTAGTCTCAAGCCGTCAGGAGAGTGCCACTTATTACTTCATGCATGTAGTTTAGTACAGACATTCTATATTTGCAATATTATTCTATGAGTAATGTTTTTATGTTTCAGGTTTCGTGTTTCTGATGAGATTTTTGTTGACACGACTCCATCAAGTCCAGAAAATCCAGCAGGAGAGGAGATAACAGACTCTGAGGTTAAAAAAGCTCCATACACTATTGTGGTGAGTTCTGTGATCAAACACTCTTATCAAACCCTTGTGCTGATTGTTCAGGTCAAACAGTTCCTCAACCTGTAATATATGTCAAGGCCAAACCTTTCTTTTCCTTGTAAAATATGTCAGGGCAAACTGTTCCTCTCCCTATAATGTATGTCATGGTCAAATAAATCTCCCCCTGTAATGTATGTCAAGGTCAAATAGAACTCCCCCTGTAATGTATGTCAAGGTCAAAAAAATATCCCCCTGTAATGTATGTCAAGGTCAAACATTGCTCACACTTTGATGTATGTCAAGGTCAAATAGTTCATCCCCATGTGATGTATGTCCAGGTCAAGCAGAAGTCCCACTGTGATGTTTGTCAAGGTCAAACAGTTCTCCCACTTTGATGTATGTCAAGGTCAAACAGTTCATCTCCTTGTGATGTATACTTGTGATGTATGTCAAAGTCAAACAGTTCATCCCCCTGTGATGTATGTCAACATCAGACAGTTCTTCCATTTTGATGTATGTCAAGGTCAAACAGTTCTCCCACTTTGATGTTTGTCAAGGTCAAACAGTTCATCTCCTTGTGATGTATGTCAAAGTCAAACAGTTCATCCCCTGTGATTTGTGTATATAAGTTATATCTATATATTTAAAACCATGTCAGACTCAGCATTGACTATCACTCACCTGATCTGAACACCAATTTAGCTTTAACCTGCAGGTTCAATGTGTGGCATGTTTATTAACATTTTATATTTTCAATTACCGGTACTTCCAAAAAGTATTCTGCACTTTACTCACCTGTGTATAAGGACAAGATTGATCGCCTTGTCAAATGGTTGAGAGGGACCATACAGATTTCCAAAAAACAAATTAAAAAAATTAATAGAAATTAGCAAAAGCTTTTTGTGATTATAAGTCTGGATGATGTACTTGAATTCTTTTAAAAACACAAGATTCAGCTTAACAGTATGTGTGCTAGCTTAGTATTTAATGGATGAGACCTGTTACTAGTGTCAGTTGAGATGTAATGGTGCTGAGAGCTGTGTATTTTGTAGGGTACCCTCATTCACTGACATGTAGCTGTCCATCTACTCTAGGTCCTCAGCCAAGCTATCAAAGCCCTCACTCCAATACCCAGTTTGTCTGAACAAACTAGTGCTAACCATGTCTGTCATCTTAAAAGCTAATATCGTTTATTCAATATACAAGTGCATTACTAGTAAAAATGATGAAAAGACGGCATTAGGTTTTAGGATTTATTCGGTTAATGGCCTCTTGTGATATTTCTCAGGACCAAGTATTATTAAACTTAATTCTGTCTTTCAAATTACAGTGCATTAACTTCCATTACACATACAGGGTAATACAGAATCTCAAGGAGCCTAACCCCTGTAGTGGTGACTATGTTCACTAATGTCCCTAGACTCTATCATACCATTTACCTAGTATGTGGCCTACTCTTACATGTCTTGGTCTGACAGAGTCACCAAGCAAGGATTATTGGGAAGGTGTGACAGTGGGGTAAGAGCCTCATCCACCAAAGTTAGAAAGCAGGTCTGACCATGTGGCCACAGTCCCCAACCAAAGGTTAGCTGGTTCTCTCCTGGTGTATTGAATGACAATATATACAGCAGAAGTTTTATCCTGAGCTATAATGATTTTGTATTCCCCAAAGTTCCAGAGACCTTGCCCTGCCAGCATCCTGTAGGGTTTCCTGTGGCTGGAGGACAATTTAGTATTAAAAGTAGATTTGCTTTCAAAGGCACATCCTGTTTCTTAGAAATAAATTGATATGTGCAGCTACTGAGGGCTTTCTCGGCTTCAGCTGATCCGCTGGCATCCGGCTGTTATTGTCCTCATAAAGAGTGCTGTTGTGTTCTCTGCTATTTCTGGCTGCTGGAAAGAGAGAGTGTGGGCGTGGAAGCTTTGTATGACATTCTATGAAGGGTGAAACAGCTACTGTACTTAAATGATTTAACACAAGACTGGTCATGACACCATTAGTTAGGTTTTGTTTTGCATGAATAATTATAATTATGTTATTGCAAAGTTATTCCATTACTTGAATGGAATGCCATGATGCTTGATCTGTAGCTGCTAGTACTTGGTTTCATGAGCAGTAGGGAATACATTGAGCATAAAATAAGTCCCTGTATACATTTTTTCAGACGCAGATTATGTGTTTGTTTGCCATCGATCATGCTATACCTTTTGTTCTATACTGAGAGTTTGTGTAAACAGCTCGTTTAGTGCAATTTCTATTATGCTCTTGTTCAAAATTTCAAGGTTGAGGTCATAGTTATTTATTAAGTTTTTGTTTTCATCTCGGTTGGGTTGACAAATCGGGCTTTGAAGTCACATTGAACTGAAGGTCAAGGCTATTTTTTAGGTTATTATGAAAGTATGGTATATGGTAAAGAGGCTATGTAAGTGTGTCTGTATGTATGTCAGTCTGTACTTACAGATATAGTTTATACCATAGTATGTCACTCTACATCTGATTGTAGTGATCTAAAGTCAAGGTTTAAGGTTCAAAGGTCACCCTTCAAAGTTGGTGTACAAGATATCTCTCACAAACCCATGAACCGATTTAGTTTATATTCACACCATAGTATGGTGACAAAATATGAGCTCCATGAGCGATTAGATTTTGGTGGTTGTGGGGCAAAGGTTAAAGGGTCAACAGTGACACTTTACCACTTTGGAAGGGGTAGGGGTAAAATCTGTCGAGCTGCTGTTCACGTTGTTTATCTAATACATATAGGATCAATATCAGACACATAGTGAAGCCAGACCACTTTTACAGATGAAACAGTTTCATAAATAGAATTACCGGTTCTGCCTTGAATGAGTTTGCTTGTGATAGAAAATCTTAACAATGAGTTTGAATGCTAACACAATAAAACCTGTAAAATATATTTCAATACAATAATTACATCCCAATGTCTCCTTCAACTTTTTCCTGGCTAAATTTATCCACAGAACAGCTATAAATAAAGGTGCACTTTGCCTGCTGCCGTGTTTTCTATACATTAGAGATAACGTGAGAGCAAGAGCAGTTATCTGATTCACAATCCTGTCTCCACACAATCCAGGAAAAGGCATTACATGTAAAAGGAAAACCGACCTACAGCAGACTTGTCTGTAGTTCGTGGTTGTCTTTGGTATCTTACACATTTTTTCAAGTTGTACAGTTCATGAAATTCACCATTATTAGCTCACCTGCCCGAAGGGCAAGTGAGCTTATGTCGTGGTGTGGCGTCCGTCGTCCGTCCGTCCATCCTCGTCCGTCAACTTTTCCTTTAAACAACTTCTTCTGAAGAACGGACAGGCCTAGAGTCATGATATTTGGCTGAAAGCTTTGTTGGTAGGAGCCCTACAAAGTTTGAGAACGAAAAATGACCTTGACCTACTTAAAAGGTCACAGGGGTCAAATATGTCAAAAATTTCCAACGACTTCTCCTGAAGAACTAAAAGGTATAGAATCTTCATATTTGGCTGATTGGTTCCTGGGATGGAGCTTAACAAAGTTTGAGAACGAAAATGACCTTGACCTACTTTCAAGGTCACAGGGGTCAAATGGGTCAAAAGCTTCAAATGACTTCTTCTGAAGAACTGAAAGGTATAGACTCTTTATATTTGGCTGGTGGCTTCCTGGGATAGAGCCCAACAAAGTTTGAGGAAGAAATTTAGTTTGACCTACTTTCAAGGTCGCAGGGGTCAAATATGTCAGACACTTCAAACGACTTCTTCTGAACAACAATAAGGTATAGAATCTTTATATTTGGCTTGTAGCTTCCTAGGAAAGAGCCCATCAAAGTTAGAGAATGAAAATGACCTTGACCTACTTTTAAGGTCACATGAGGCAGATATGTCAAACACTTCAAATGACTTCTTCTGAAGAACTGGAAATAATAGAACCTTAATATTCTGCTGGTTATTTCCTGGGAAAGAGCCCAACAAAGTTTGCTAATGAAAGTGACCTTGACCTACTTTCAAGGTCACAGAGGTCAACAACATTTTAATGGATTAATGTTTGGTTTGTAGGTGGTGAAAGAGCAATACTTCACCAGTGTAGTCAATAGCATTGGGAGTTTGGGGCATTGAAAGAACTAAAAGGAATGGATTCATAAGATTTGGCTTATAGATTTTGGAATAGAGCTTACCAGTTTGAGAAGGAAAATGACATTGACCTACTTACAAGGTCACAGGGAGAAATATGTCAAGCAACTTCTGAAGAATCAAAAAGCGTAGAATCTTGTAATAATATTTTGCTGGTAGTTTCAACAGATGGAGCCAACAAAGTTTGCGAGGGAAATATTTTTATTGCAATATAATATTTAATGAGAATATTTTGCTATGACTGCTTAAATATTCAGTTGAGCGATACAGGCCCTCTTGGGCCTCTTGTTAAATGGTATGTGATGTCATGTGAAAAATGTCCACCACAACCTATTGGTACATCAGATCAGCCTTCAGCCAGCACAGCTCATTCAATCTGTTAAAAGATTCTAAGGTGTTAATAGCATCAACAAGTGAAGTGAAATTACAATGCTTCATTTTTAGCTCATCTGCCCATTTTTAGCTCAACGTCCGTCCGTCCATCCTCGTCCGTCAACTTTTCCTTTAAACAACTTCTTCTGAAGAACGGACAGGCCTAGAGTCATGATATTTGGCTGAAAGCTTTGTTGGTAGGAGCCCGACAAAGTTTGAGAACGAAAATTACCTTGACCTACTTTCAAGGTCACAGGAGTCATATATGTCAAAAACTTCAAACAACTTCTTCTGAAGAATTAAAAGGTATAGAATCTTTATATTTGGCTGATGGCTTCCTGGGATGAAGCCCAACAAAGCTTGAGAATGAAAAATGACCTTGACCTACTTTCAAGGTCACAGTGGTCAAATGTGTCAAACACTTCAAACGACTTCTTCTGAAGAACTGAAAGGTATAGAATCTTTATATTTGGCAGGTGGCTTCCTGGGATAGAGCCCGACAAAGTTTGAGAACTAAAATG